TCATGCCCTTTCGAAGCCAAGGAAAATGGAGAAAGAAGATAAACAAGCCACAGAGCTCTGCTCCATGTCAGGTCCCACCCTGGGGCACTCTCTATGTTGACCATCATCTCATTACTATAGCCTCAGGAAGCAGAAATGACCCTATTCTAAAGATGTGGGAACAGGCTGAGGAGTAAAAGTTACTTGTCCAAGGTCAGGTAGCTTAGGGTGAAACCTAGACCTGTCTGTCTCCTAAGGCCCTGCCCTTTCTACTCTATATGACAGGAGGAGGGGGCCGAGACTCCTCAGAAGGCAGGAAGACCTAATGCCCTTCCCATGGGAGTAGACAAGAGGAGTGAACAAGTGGACCAGTGGAATGGATCACAGGAAGCTGAGCTCCCATCTGGGGGGCGAGGATGGCTGGGGCTCTCAGGCCAGACTTTCCTGGTGCTTGGGCCTCAGACGTCCCATTAGGTGTTGCACACAGCAGCCCAAGTTTTGGTGTCAATTCCATTCCTGAGGATCAGGGCGGGGCCTGAGGAAGAGGCCACTAGAACAGATGGTCAGGGTCAGGAAGGGCAAAGCCATGGCTCCATGCCCCTCAGCTCCACCTTCCAGGGCCTTGAGTCTACAGGTCTGGTGTCCAGAATGACATTATGTGCATGGGAAGACACCCATCTGGGAACATCTGTGCCTGGGAGGGGGAGGGGTGAGCAGAGAGGTTCCTACTCAGTAGACCTGGGCATACAATCTGTGTGAAGGACCCACAAACATGCATGATCACATGAGCTGGTTTGCCATCTGTGTGAGGGTCCAAAGCACAGCCACCCCATGGTCAAGCTTTAACTTGCTCATTCCTACCTTGGACAGGAGCCATTTCCAGCCTCCTCAGAGTCAAGCAGTCTGTGTTCAGGGACAGGAATGGGGAACGCTGCCAAGGGGGACAGAGTAAACTTCTCTCCTCTTCCCTTGCCATAGTAGCCCTCCCTACCTAGCCAGAGAACCCACACACAGTGGAGAGGGAAAAAAAATAATAAGCACTTGACTGGCCATGACTCGGAGCACATTGAGGGCTAAGAGCAGGGTTACAGTGAGGTGGACAGTGGCAATACCCGCAGGGAACATGGGCATGAATGAATAGCTAGCTCGGACCAGAGGCCTCTGGCAGTTGCCCTAGGTCCCATGTGCCTCTCCAGGGCTGAGGAATCTGTCCTGTCGGCCACTCACAGCTATCAATGTGCCATGGCCTCTATGTGGGCCCTGTGAGGAGCTGGGGAGTTCCCTTGGAAGGAGCTAGATTGAAGCTGGGAGCTGAGGTAAGCAGAACAGTTGGACTGGTAGCAGCAGGGGGTCTTGGCCTAGGTCTGGACAGAGCAGGAGATGTTGGGCTGTAGGATGGGGGTTGGGGCTGGTGGGGCCAGGGGCACCAGGTTCTGCGAGGCAAGGGAGCTATAGTGCAGAAGCCACAGCCTGACTGGGGGGGTGTGGATGGATGCCTGGCCCACCAGCAGTTAAAGCCAAGTTCCAATGGATCAGCCTAGTCATGTGTGGTGATGCAGGTGTCTCCCGAAGGGCCCCCAGGCTCAGGTTTGGATTTTACCTTCAGGTACTGGTGAGCCACAGAAGTCTTTTTAGTGGGGTCCCAGCCTAGAAACTAGGGGCATTAAGCAAAGTAGAGGAGGTACAGAAAGGGGATGAGGGGGGTGGCCACTGCACTGGTCCAGGTAGGAGAGGTGAGGGAGAAAGGAGCTGGGGGGGGGGCAGGTGTGGTGACAAAAGAGGAGAGGGACACGAGCAATGTCACAAGTAGAACTGAGCTGGAGGACTTGGTGACAGATTAGACATGAAGCGTGAAGGAGAAGGGACAGCCAAGAGAGACTGCAAGGTTTCCAGCCCCAGGCTGGAGGACTGGGGGGTGGGGGGTGAGGGGAGACAGCGGGAGGGGGTTGGCCTGGATAGAGTAGGCTCAGGCATGCAGGTATATGGACACATGTGTTCACGGGCAGCAGCCAAGCCCAACACTACCTCCTTTGCATGGAGAAGGGGTCCCCCCACCGTAGGCTTAAGGCAGCTCCTGACTTTGAGACTGCACTGCTTGAGTCTGCAGGTCTGGGACCCAGAGCAAGACCCGGTGGGAGGAAGGTATGTAAGACGGGAGGAGATCCTGGCTCAGGGCTGAGGCCAAAGTTGGCTGCTCATAGAAACCGGCCAGTGACCCACGGTTGGGGGCTTGGTACCTGGATCAGTACCAATCTCCAGGTTCTGGAGGGAAGCCCCTCCCAACACGGGCAACAGGGGGAAGACAGGACCAACCCTCTCCTGGGGATACCTAGGGGACCCTGAGGCCCAACCCAACCCATCCCCAAGGCAAAGTGAGAGCCCTAAAGAATTAAGACACCCTCCCCCTAACCAACTGCCCCGGTGTGGGGGTGACGGGTGGACAGAGGGGTCCAGGACCATCCCTGAGGATGGAGGTGGGGCCCGAGGAAGAGACCATCAGGTCAGATTGTTGAGGTCAGGATGGGCAATACCACAGCTCCGGGCCCCTCAGCACCACCTTTTAGGAGAGCCAGCTCCTCATGGGCCCCTCACCCTAGGAGTGCAGACATCTGTGCGGCAGGACATCTAACAGGTGTGAGCGGCCCACAGGGGTGGGGACGCAGGTGGCAGCTGTGTGAGACTGGGTATGAATGGGGAAAAGCTGTGAGGGGGGGTTGGGGGAGTGTTCCTGTGTGCAGGGGCACACAGGCGGTGAGTGTGCTGAAGGGACAGGCTTTTGTGTGAGGCTGTGACAGAGGGTGGGCCCTGGGCCTGGGGAGCCAGAGGCTGCAATCCTGCTGGCCCCCGGCGCCCCCTGCTGCCTGACTGGCTGTCCCTCCCTCAGCCACTCACACACATTTTTCACTGGCTGCTGTTGCCGAGGAGATGATGGGTGATGTGGGAGGAGGTGTGGGAGGAGCTGGGGTCATCTCAGGGCCAGCCTGCCCGGGCACCTGTGCCCAGAGCCTGTGGGGGACAGCAATAAGGGGCCCCAGATAAGAAGGGCCGCTGCATGCCATTCAGAGGCTCTTCCCACAGGCCTGAGAGCTGGTGCCTAGAGGCAGTCTCTGCTCCAGGGCAGCCCTGCGGCACTAGTGCCCACCTGCCAGCTCCCTGGGCAGCCTTGGATCAGAACCCAACAGGTGCCCCACCAACCAGGGATGCGGTTCCCCCACTCTATGACCTTCCAAGGAATCCATGTGGCAACCCCCCGGCTGTGGTACCCTGACTCACCAGCACCCATCACCCTCTTATCTACACATGCTCACCTGTGCAACTGCTCACAACCATCACACACACGTGCGGCAGGCCAGGCCTCACACAAGTTCATCTGGCCACACACATACCAATGCTGCACACACTGCCAGCCCTCATCGTCACCAGGGCACACATGCCAACCACAGCCCTCACACGTGCTCAGATATGACCACACAGCCCTCTCACACACAGCCATCTCAGTAAACATTTCCCGGGCACCTACTTGGTATCTGACAACACCTCCCCTGTGTGAGGAGCATGAACACCCCTAGTTTACCATGATCAGCTGACCAACCCTGCACCCCCGTCCCCCCCCCCCCCGCCGAGGGATGCACACACAATCCGAACGTGGATGTGTGTGCAATACGAACACACACCCAGCAGCTGTGCAGCCTCCTGGCTTGGTTGGGATTAAAAGGGGAGGTCATGGGGCAGAAGGGGTTGTTAAAGTGAGGATTTAGGGGGGGAAATGGGGTACTGGAAAACGGATGGGATAGAGTAGAGGGAGGACTGAGGGGGCAGAGTGGGGAGGGCAGCCAGGCAGAATGGGTGCAGGATGTGCGACACAGAGACCCTTTAAAGAAACAGCCATCAGCCTCAATCATCGGGCTGGTGTAAGCTCTCACTCATTGATCTCCAATCCGTCTGGCTTCACATCTCAGGAACCCCAAAGCTCCCTTCTGACCTCTAGGATTAACAATGGCCTGCCCAAGCTGGGAGGCATCTCCCAGGTTCTCAGGGTAGCAAGAATCAAGACTTGCTAGGGTGAACCCCATGTCCCCTTGATCATACAAATGACCCTCCTCCCCCCCCCCCCATACATACACACATAAGCTCAGCTCTGCTAAGTGCATGGATGGTGGGGAGGAAAGATCAGGAGGCCCTAACAACCTAGGCTAGGTGGAAGCTCAGGGAGAGCAGACAAAGGATGCAGGGGAACTCCCCCCACCCCAAGGGAGGTGGGCTGAGAGCCTAGTTACCAAGCAGGTTAGGATGGCCAACGGGACATGGAGGGAGGAGGAAGGGCGGCGCAATGAAAGGAAGAAGGGAAAGCAGCAGCTGCCCCACCGTACACAACTCTGGCCTCCACGCACCGAGGAGGCTGGGAGCCACAGCTCTGGTCAGGGGCCGCGGGCCTTTGACTGTGCAGGCTGCAAGGGCTGGGGGGCTGGTGTATGCGCCTCCACGCCTGAGTGTGTGCGTGTGCGCGCGTGTGGCGGGGACAGAGGAGGACACTGTGTTCTGGACGTGGGCAGGGGCCAGTTGCCAAGTGAGAATTGTGAGTAGCTGTTTGGGTCAGATGCTACCGGGAAGAGGTATCTTAAGACCCCTCCTCGATTTCCTGGGCATTGGGATGTGGTCAAAACCTCTATCTAAGACTCTCAGAGTCAGGCTCCCCCCGGGCGTTGACTCAAACCCTTGGCTCCGCTCTGGGGCCGGGCAACCAGCAAACTTCCCCCGCCCGGAGGCGTGGAGCGTTTACACTCGCCAGCCCCGCGCGCTGACAGCTGCTCCAGCACTTGGCAGAACCCAGGCTTCCGGGGAAGCGCGCGGGGAAGCTGCGCAGCAGCGAGAGACGGCCCCCGCGTCCCGCCTCGCAAAGTTTGGCCTCCGGGGGCTTCCAGCCGGGTCCGGCCGCGCGGGTCAGGGACCCCCACCCAGAGCAGCGAGCGTTCGTGCGCATAATCCCCCGCAAGCCTCCCCAGAGCGCGCGCGTGACTCACCCGAGCCGTGGAGCCAGGCGGTGAGGACTATGCCCAGGAGCGCTGGCCACAGGCCGGGCCGGACGGCCATGGCCGCGGGCGGGCGAGCGGGCCAGCCGGGCGCGGGGCCCCGCGGGCGGGAGGGCGGCTTTCAGCGCCTCAGCCCAGAGCCCCAGCCCGGGGCGCCCCCGGGGCCCATGCCAGCTGACTGCGCTGCCTTGGGGCGGCCGGCTGCGGGGCGCACGCGGCGCGTGGCTCCCCTGGGCACCCGGAGCACAGCAATGCAGCCGGGGCGGAGCGCAGCGCCAGCCGCGCCGCGCACCGAGCCAGCCGCCGCGCGGAGCCCGCAGCCGGGGAGCGGGCCGGCGGGCGCCGCAAAACCCGGACTGGAGCAGCGGAGCGGGGCGGCGGCAGGGCGGGGCGGGGGAAGGAAGGAGGGGCCCTGCCGCCCCACGCCGCGCGCGAGGGCCACCCCCAGCTCCGGGGATCCCTCCTGGCGTTGCCCGAGGCTCCCCCGGGGAGGGGTTGGGGTGGTGGGCGGGGAGGCCTCCCACCGCCCCTCGCGGTCTCCAGGGACAAGGCCTAGAGTCTGAAACCCGGAGTGGATCAGTTGTCCGGATCCGGGCTCTCCCAGACCCGCTAGCCTGCGCACAGGTGGCCCGGGAGGGGCCCAGGGCTGCGGCGACCCCGGCGCGGCGCCAGCCTGCAGAGAACGGCTTGGGGCAGGGGTGCCCCGGGCAGGTTCCGCTGCAGTCCTCTCCCCCACCCCACCCCACTCCCCGCCTCCCAGCCGCGCTCCGAGGCCATCTGCGTACCGCGGTACGCCAGCAGCCCGCGGCTTGGATAAGGGACTGCGGGAGAGCGCTCGGGCGCCGGCCCTCCCGTAGAGGTGCTCGGGCAGGCCAGACTCGGGGCCACCCGCAGTTCCAAGCAGGTAGCTTGGTGGACCTCCGCGTGACCCAAGATTTCTCTAACCCCGTGGCGCCGTTCGCCTAAGGAAAACAACCCCAGGACACAGCTATCTGGGCGACCGGTGTTTGCGCCCTGAGCTCGCACCGCGCCAGAGACGTGGGCGTGAAGGACTGGGCAGGGCTTTGGGAGTTACGAAGACCCCGGTGTAGGATCTAGGCACCTCAGCCTTCTAGCTCTGTGACCTTGGGCAAGTCACGTAGTCTCCAGCAATGACCGCTGCTGGAGTCTCCTACTCCCCACCCCCATTCCCTAATCTGGTTAAAGTAAACAGAGGGTTGCCTTGAAGGAGAAAGGAAATGACAAGCAACATATACACAGGACGAATGGTCAGGAAAAAAAGAGGGTCTGATTCTGGGAGGGATGAGAAGGGTGAGGGCAGGGTCGCAAAATAAACCTCCTACAGGGGCCAGTCAGTAATACAAATTGGTGTTGCATGCTGGGTGATATAAGAATGGTCTTCGCTTCCACAAAGAGATGTGAGCTCTCCTATATTTCTTGAAACCACGAGGCCCTCTCTCGGTCTGTCTTTTGTTTCCCACTTTTGATAGAGAAGGGTTATGAGAAATGTTTTCCTTTTCTCTTAACTAGTGTGAGAAACATCAGCCAATGTCCAGATACACATGGTATGGATGGGCTTCAGCGCAAAGGAGGCAATGGCGGTGCTAGAGACTATACACATGGGATCCCGTGGAGAGGTACAGCTGGCTCTTCTACTCCAGGTGCCAACTGGGGGTGTTGGAATTGGGGCCCCGTATGTCCATATCTTCCACATTTTCAAGAGAAGCCATTCGATGTGAAATCTTCTGATCTAAAATTTTTAACCTCATGGGAGCCCAGGTGAAAATATCTGCAAATGTCCAATAGCTTCTGGCTTTTGACCTCTGCTTTGGGGATTACTTAAATGTATGCTGTGTCTACCTGATTTACCCAACTGGAGGGGGTGTGTGTGCGTTGTAGGGAGCAGTGTGTGCTAGGCTTCTCCCTCTGACACTATGCCCCACCCACCCTGCTCCCAGGGAAGAGGTGGATGGATGGAAGAGGTGAAACCTTAGGAGGACCATCACTTGAGGCACCTGGTATAAGAGGGATGGTTAGGAACTGGGGTTTGGGCACCAAATGGGGAGAATGAAGGACTGGAACCGGGGGCTGGGATATAAGATGATATCGTAATGGTGTGTGCTGGACTCTGCTCTGTCCTTCCCTACATTTATGGTTTGATCCTCCTCACGTGCAATCCTGTTGAGTAAACATTGTCATCTCCATTATACAGAAATGGTAACTGAGACTTTGGGAAAGGAAGTGCCTGGAGCCCAGGGCCAACCTATTTGATGTTTTCAGGGCTAGCTGAGATTGGGCCTGAGGGGGGTTGACGTCAATTTCCATGCTCTTTACATTTCCTCTTCCCACAGTTTCTGTTCTGGGATTAGAATTTGGGAACAAGGGTTGAGGAACAAGAAAAAAAGTGTCTCCTTCTCTCTTCAGTTTGGTTGCTGTGTTCACTTCTCTGCCCTTCTTTCTTCAGCCAGAATAGAATGGTCTGTGTACCGGTCAGGATAGACTAAGTTATGTCATGGTAACAAACAGTCCCCAAACCTCAGTGGCTTCAGTCATCGAAGGTTTATTTCTCATTTGTTCATCGTGGGTCTGCTGCTCCAGATCAGCCTCAATTGAGGGCCCAGGCTGACAAAACAGACACTCTTTGGAACATCGTTGGTCAATGAGGCAGAGGAAAAGAGAGCTCTGGAGGTACACCCACCAGTAATCAATGGCTCAGCCCTGAAATGACATGTGTCACTTCCACTGGCAATTTATCGGCCAGAACTGGTCCCATGGCCCCATCCAAAAGGGCCAAGAAGTACAGTTCTACATGCCAACAGCTGAAATGTGAGGAAAGCAGCATTAATGATAACCACTGCCTCCAAGGGGCATGATCTGGCCCCTGCCTATCTCTGCAACTCTGCCTAGGCCTCAGCCATGGTGGCCTCCCTTCTGTTTCTCCAGCATCCAACCTCATCCTCACCTCTACACCTTCCCACTTGCTTTCCTCCTGGGACTCTCTGTCCCTAGGTCTTCACATGGCTGGTTCCTTTACTCACTCAGGCCTCAACTCAGCTGTCTCCTTCCAATTGGTACTCAGGGCATATCAGGAAAAGGAGTAGGGATGCCCTTGTGGAGATGGAGAGTAATTGTCTCACCTGAATTCTGCTTAAGACTCTAAATGGGAGGCCTGCTAGGAAGTGCTTGTCTCAGGCTCAAAGGTAGATGGTCAGATAGAAGGTCTCCTAACATCTTTAACCTTCATTGCCTTTGAGTCCCAGACTCAAAAAGGGAGAGGCCAAACCCTGCCTAGGCTGGACTCTCCAACAAGTACCTGTAGCCCTCCTGCAATATCCCAGTGACCATGCAAGGGTTTCACCTCCAACTACTCTGCTGGCTAGGAATTTCTTCTCCCAAGGCAGCAGGAATCTGCCCGTCATTGCATTCACCTTCTGGGGCCTCATCAAACCTGTCTGCTCCCTCTTCACTTCTGTTATTCAGAGTCCTCTTACTTCTTTTTTACTTCAGATGACAAAGTCTGGGTGTATCCTGAATTTTCTCCCTTTAGACCAAATAGTTTTGCTTCTGTTACTGGAATAGCAACGAAGTTCTGGGCCCCTGTCCTTGCCACCCTGGCCCCCTACTATAAGTGCTCTCCACCAAGGTTGCTCCTCTGAAGGCATCTTTTTTTTTTTTTTTAATTTTAGTGTTTTTTTTTATTTCTGAGAGGGAGACAGCGTGAACAGGGAGGGTCAGAGAGAGAGGGAGACACAGAATCTGAAGCAGGCTCCAGGCTCTGAGCTGTCAGCACAGAGCCCAACACGGGGCTCGAGCCCACAAACTGTGAGATCATGACCTGGGCCGAAGTCGGACGCTTAACCGACTGAGCCACCCAGGCGCCCCTGAAGGCATCTCTTAAAGGGAATTGGCACATCTCCTGATGCATGGCCTGATGCATCAGCAGGGCCCCAGTCAGCTATTGATCAGTAACATCACACTGTTAATACCTACTAGATTTGGGGCGGGGAGGGGGACTCTGAGCCCATGGTGAGGCCATCACTGACTTGGAGATGTGCCAGAAGCTCCTGTGATGCTGAGGCCCTGCCCTATCCTGATTCCAGTTCAGTATGTCCGGGCAAGTGTCTAGGAATCTGTGCTTTTACCACCTGCTCCACCCCCAACCAGCTATTTCTACTGGTGCTAGTGGTCTGAAGACTGCACTTTGAGGAAACCTGCGCTGTGTCTTTTCCATAGGCACTGCCACCAACCAGATGTTCCCCATCTACCTTTGCATCACTGGTTTTCTGAATTTAAGTGCAGAGACTTCAATTCATCCAATTCTCTTCCATTGTATTGCACCTAATCCCTTTTTCCTATAGGGAGCCCTCTCAGGATTGGAAGCTGTCAAGCAGGGTACTTGCTATTTTCTTCAGCTTCCTGTCATTCCCAGATGAGACTGGGAAGTCATATATACTTTCAACCAAGTCCTTACTAAACAGGATGCTGATAGCAGAACCAAGGAGAGAGCCTACTGGCTCTGCACTTCAGACTACCTTGCAAGTTGCACCAGGGCAGTAAATCAGTATTTCTTTCATCCACTCAGGAAGCCTCTGACCACACCATCTTTCAGCTAACATCTCACTGCTGCACCCACAAAACAAACAGCGAGACCCTGCAGAACCCCAGATTCATGAGCCTTCAGCTTTATCCTAATCTACCAGGCCAATAACTAAAACAAGAAATTAGTTCAGCAGGCTGGACTTGCTCTTGGTGAGCCCACATTGGCCCTTGATAGTCTAGTCCCTGCCTTGATCCAAGCATCCATATTTACCCACTGCTCGGCATCTAGCTTCTGTCTTCTAGAAGTAGCAGCTTCCTGTCTTTCCTTTGAGGGATCACCCTCCCTCACCATCAGTGTATGAGATTCATGTGAGGCTACCCCACCCCAGTTCCAGAGGATGGCACAGGCTTCAAGCCTACCTACTCAGCAACCACTATTCCTTGAACCACAGTGATTCATTCATTCAGGGATGGGCATAGGACCTGAACCAAGTGCTCAAGCTCTTTTCTGGGATTTTTGTT